CCCCAGCCTCCCCCCAGCACCACACCGCCTCCCCCAGCACCACCCGCCTCCCCCAGCCCCACCCGCCTCCCCCAGCCCCACCCGCCTCCCCCAGCCCCACCCGCCTCCCCCAGCGACAGCAGAACCAGCCCGCATGCTTGCACACTCACCACGTCCACACCTGTCCAGCCTTGGTGAGAGCGAGAGAGAACTGCGCCCCACATTCTATCTGCACCACGCCGAGACCTGTCAGCCGCTCCACTGCCTGCTGTAAAAACCACAAGCACACACACACGGCTGTGTAATACCGAATGTACACTCACGCACGAACGCACGCACGCACGCACGCACACACACATGCACGCACGCACGCACGCACGCACACACACATACACATACACGCACTCACGCACGCACACACGCACGCACGCACGTACACACACGCACGCACGCACGCACGCACGCACGCACGCACGCACGCACGCACGCACACACACACACACAAGGCTGTGTAATACCGAGTGGGCACACGCCATGTGTACACCGCATGTGTACGTGTAGGCTAGCTGTGTAGGAACGGACTAGCTTCCATGCCTGCTCCTCTATCACACAGCTACTATGTATAGCTACCATACACAGCTACTACATATAGCTACCATACACAGCTACTACATATAGCTACCATACACAGCTACTACATATAGCTACCATACACAGCTACTACATATAGCTACCATACACAGCTACTACATATAGCTACCATACACAGCTACTACATATAGCTACCATACACAGCTACTACATATAGCTACCATACACAGCTACTACATATAGCTACCATACACAGCTACAACACAAACCCCACCCTCTACCTATCTGTGTCACAGCCCCCCCCCCCTACTGACTAACGTACCTGCGGCACGTTGCATCCTTCGCTGCCGCCGCGGCCCAGCTTGCCGAAGTCTCCGTCTCCCCACGAGTAGATGATGCCCTCGTCCGTCAGAGCGATCGTCTGCGCGTCTCTGCTTCCGCACGCAACCTGCACCACTCGCTGTCCGGCCAGGGCCTTCACCTGCAGTAGCCACAACCACAGATGTTAGACTACAAGACAGACCGGACAAAATGTCTTGGTTTTGTTTTAAATGTGTAAGGAAATTAGCGAACAAAACCGATGTACATACACGTGCATTATAACATTCATATACTATTTCACCTTATACAAAACCATAATAAGTATAAATTAATCACTGTCACGCACATTGGCTGGGTCACATGATACATGTAACAGTATCATGCGACACTGTCAATCATGACAGTGAATATAATGTATTACTATCACGCATCATGCATGATACATCGTTATTATACAACGCGTCATGAATGATACACAGTTATCGTAGCGTGCGTCACACAACCCATGACTACCAGTAACATCGTACCTGCTTCGGTCTGAGCTGGGTCATGTTGTCGCCGTGGCCGAGCCGCCCGTATTCACCGAGGCCCCAGGTGTAGAGGTCACCGTTAGAGATGATGGCTGCACTGTGGGAGCTACCGCACGCCACGTCACGCACGCGCTTAGACTTCAACACCTCGATCAGCCGCGGTCGATCACAGATCCTACGATAAAGAAGCCAGAAGTGACAACTGAGGCCATGAGCAGTAAGCAACTACAGTGGTGACCGATTTATCTGCCAACAGTTTCTGAAGAACGAACGTTGTGAATACAATCCTAAAGTCGTAAAGATTGTTGACGTACCTATGAGGCTGGTTACAGTACATACAGAATATTTACGGAACTAAAAATTACGGAAAGTTACGGACAATTCACGAAAGGTTCCGTAACGGTACGTAAATTTTATTATAAGTTTTTTCGTAATCGTCCGTAGTTGTCCGTAATTTTTATCCGAGTTCTGTAAAAAAAAATCGGTTTACATTCTGCTAGAATGTCCCAGCTTGCCGTCGTCTCCTTCTCCCCAGGAGAACACCTTTCCATCGACAGTGAGGGCCATCGTGTGTCTCCCACCTACGTGACAAACAAAACCCACATGAGTGTGTACGACCATTATGTCACGATCCGCAGTGGCAGCCACGTTCATACTCTATATGATTATTGCTCACACTTATACTTACCTATTATTTAATATAATGCTTATATTACATTATCCTTCTAGTAAAATGCTAGTTTAAATGTGGAGAAATCATGCGAGCTTGCATTTAAACATAGACACCATCGCATGTATTACAAAAATAACTTCTCCTTTTCCTCTAACGGTTTCGATTGTTCACAGACTGTCAGAGTAACTCGTACCTGAATGCACGGCGACCTTCTTGACGACGTACTGGCTGAATGTGTTTATCAGCTTAGGTGAGGAGACGTTGCTGCAGTGACCGAGACCTAGTCGACCATTCGTGCCCTCACCACACGCATACACTTTACCCTCCTGCGTCACTGTAGCAAGGAAACACACGCAGGTTCACATCAACACGTATTACAATAACAACTAGAGCACTCGGAGAGCACAGACCAGCACAGCTCCAAGGCAGCTCAGTTCTGTGACTGTGAAAAATTTTATTAATTCATTAATTCATTAAATAATTAATTGGGTCCGGATCACCACTAAAATGTAATCAATTCTAAGTTATACCATTTCTGACCTATCCTAAAAATTTTAGTAATTTATTTATTTATTTATTTATTTATTGGATCCGGATCACCACCAAAATGTAAGCAATTCTAAGTTAGCCCATTTCTGACCTATCCTGGAAATTTTATTAATTAATTAATTAATTAATT